CAAAACTACCAGCTGTTCCACAGGAGAAAGATGAGGCTTTCTGCTCCCGTAAAGATTTACAGCCTCAGAAACCCTGTACAGGGTTGTTATGAGTCGGAACAGACTCCACGGCACATAACAACAACAGCAATTCTATTATACGTTGGAGTCCTAGTATGGTGCCCTAGGATAAGCACTCAACCCCAAGGTGGGTTTGAACCTCAAGGTTGGCAGTTTAAACTCACCAGCTGCTCCTTGGAAACCCTATTCAGGGTTGCTTGAATTGAAACTGAGTAGACTGCACGAATGTGGGTGTAAACCTCTGGGTGTGACTTCACTATATGCATATGGATGTATGCACATATCTCTGCTACTTTCCTAGATCAAATGTAAGCCCTTCTTTATTTCCTGTCAACCTCACAATACTTACTGCTAGGAGCAAGGTAAGCACTGGCTGCCATCTGGTATTTACACCTGGCAGAAAGATGGAGAACACTGAGGAGAGAAAGGCCTTCCTCACTGGGTCTCCATCTCTCCATCTGTCTCTTCACAGCTCTGCCCCCAAGGACTGCACATCTTTCAGCATCCATACCTCACCAGAAGTGGTTGTGAATGTTGCCCACGTCACTCCGCTCAAGAAGAACCCCACAGGTCCTTTCAAATGGCCCCTGGACCCTAAGATAGAGTTGAGTGTGAGGATGAAAGCTTCTAGTACCATCACAAGTGACCAGAAGGTAAGCGTGGCTGCTGTGGGCTGGGATCTGTGAAGGAAGGTTAGCTGGGCAGGAACTACTCAAAGTCTGTACTTCCTTGAGCCTCAGCCCCAGCCCTTGCAGAGTCTCCATCCCTCTGGAAAAGCTGATGGTTTGTTTCAGCCATAGCATCCTCATAAACAATAATATAGGCAAACCTGGAGTCCTGGTGTGGTGCAGTGGGTTAATACGCCAGATTGTAAAGCTGTTTGAACTGCAAGGTCGGCAGTTCAAGCTCACCAGCTGCTCCTCGGAAACCCTATACAGGGTCGCTATGGGTCGGACCCGACTCGGCAGCACTTAACAACAACAACAGGAGGTTATGAATTCCAGGCTTGGATTAAATGTAGGTATTAAGCCAGTGTTTAGTAAGTACTTACTGCACGCCAGACATTACTAGGCACTGGATTCTAGAAATAAACAAGACAAATGAAGTTTCAGCCTTCAGGGGACTTACAACCCATGAATGAAGGCACCAAATCATATGGTAGTGGTGGCTGTGTACTGTGGAGTTACTTCTGACTCATAGCGACCCTGTACAGGCTTTCCAAGGCTATACATCTTTACAGGACTAAAAAAACTCATTTTTCTCCAATGGAGCAGCTGGTAGATTCAAACTGCTGACCTTGTGGTTAGCAGCTCAGCTCATAATCCAGTACACTACCAGAGCTCCTACCAGATAACATAAAGGTAAATAAACAAGAATTACAAATGGTAGTGAAGTCCATGGAGGCTCCAGGCAGGAAACCCCAAGGAACTCTAGTTCTTGCCATTTGTACTTGCTTTTTGTGACTGTTCCAATAATTGGCTTGTTGTTGTTGTTGTTATGTGCCGTCGAGTCGGTTCCGGCCCATAGCGACCCTGTACAGGGTTTCCGAGGGTGTAAATCCTTACGGGAGTAGAAAGCCTCATCTTTCTCCCGCGGAGCAGCTGGTAGTTTCGAACCGCTGACCTTTAGGTTCGCAGCCCGATTCGTAACCACTACGCTAATTGGCTTAAAGCAACGAAAATTTATTCTCTCACAGTTTAGAGGCCAGAAGTCCAAAATCAAGGTGTCAACAGGAGACTCTGGAGGCTCTAGGGGAGACTCATTTCTGCGTCTTTTCACAGCTCCTGTTAGCTCTTAAGACTCCTTGACTTACAGATGCCTCACTCTAACCTCTGCCTCCATAGTCCCTCTGCCTCACTCCTACAAGGACATTTGTCATTATACAGACTCTTGTCCAGGACTTACCTGCTCAATCCAGATGAGCTCTTCATCTCAAGACTCTTAACTACACCTGCAAAGATCTTGTCTCCAAATAAGGCAACAGTTACAGATTCCAACATCCACAGAGATCAGGATGTAGACCTATCTTTTTTGGGGGACCATCATAGATCCCACTCTACTCTTTTGCCTGAAGATAGGTGCACCACAACCCTCTTGAGTTCCCACAGAGAAATCTGAGCCACAAGCTCTCAGCAGAATGGGCCCAACAGATTCCTTCCTGGGAGCAAAATGTTGTGGTTGCACAAAGCTGAGGTATCCAGACAGGTCAAGAAGGGATGGTCAGGGAAAACTTCCTGGAAGAAGAGGCAGGCTGAAGGATGGGTAAGAGTAGTCCATATAAGTTGAAGATCTGCACAGAAGAGGTGGTCTGTGTGCATACTCTTGATAAGAAGAAGGTGAGAAGCAAATTGGAGAAGCAGGTAATTCTATATGGCAAGAAGTAGGAGGGGAGGGAAGAAAGTGGGTGAGAAAGGAAGCTAGTATAAAGGGTTTGGCATCAGGGACCTCATTTTCTGAGAGTAACAGGAAGCCAATGGAATGTTTTCAGCCAGGGAGTACCAGCCTCACATTTGCATATGAGAAAGACCCCACTGGCTGGAGGGTGTCAAGTAGACAAGATCTAGGAAGTAGACTGGAGGCAGGGCGGTCAGTCAGGAGATGGATGCTTTGGTCCTTTTGAGAGGCAACAGTGTCCATAACATTTCCCTGGATGCCCGCTTTCTGAGGGTAGGTCAAATACCTCAGCAGTCTCCATCAGACGCCTCAGGAGTTCCTTTTCTTCCAGTGGCAGCTCTTTGGTTTTGTTTCCCATTTCCATGATGCTTGGAAATGTCAGTCCCGATGCTCTGGCCTCCTCTGGACAGGCTGAGCCAATCAGATGTGCTTTCCCTGGATTTGGGGTCTCAGGCAAAGAGGGTTGTTGTTTCTTAATCTTGGTAGCACCCACCCAGAAGAGACCACTGTCTATGCAAAGTTTCTGCTCCCCAGGTTCCCCAGAGCTTGGGCTCTACCCCTCTGAGGTCTAGTTCTTCAGGTCTTCCCATAATTCCTCTTGCTTGCTAAAGTCAATTTCTGTGACTTCAACCTCTCCCTCTAATGTCTCTCCGATGATATCTATAGTCACTAAACTCCTAATCACCTTCCAAGATCCACCTCAAAGTGTACCTTTTCATTAGAGACTCCTCATACCTTCAGGAAGAGTGAGTTACTCCACTTTGGGGGTCCCACAGAAACTTCTATAGCATCATTGTTGTTGTTAGGTGCCGTGGAGTCGATTACAACTTATAGCAACCCTATACAGGGTTTCCAAGGCTGTAAATCTTTACGGGAGCAGAAAGCCTCATCTTTCTCCCTCAGAACAGCTGGTGGTTTCAAACTGCTGACCTTGCAGTTCACAGCCCGATTCATAACCACTACGCTACCAGAGCTCCTTCTATAGCATCATAGTTATTTAATTTTTGCTAGCCCTCCACATCTACCAGTTTGGGTATTCCAAATAGGCAGGGACTGAGTCTTGCCCATCCTTGCCTCCCCAGTGACCGCTCCCAGGCTGGCACATAACAGTGTTTGTTAAATGGATAAAATAAGTCCTAAGTGGTCTGCTTCTGTCCTGCAGGTTCGAATTTCATACTATGGGCCCAACTCCCCACCAACTCAAGCCCTCCTTTACCTCACTGGAGTTGGTAAGTAATGGGCAGGATCCTACAGTACCAGCTACCCCTTACACACATACACACCTGCAAGACACCTCTCCAGCTATACCCTGGAGCTTATTTTAGAATGAACAACAACAAAAAAATACAAGTTCTAGTTAGTCATACACATTGTTGTTGTTGTTAAGTGCCATCAAATCTGTTCCGACTCATAGTGACCCTGTATTGGATTTCCGAGGAACAGCTGGTGAGCTTAAACCGCTGATCTTGAGGTTCAAACCAACTCTGCAGTCCAGCACATTAACCTGCAGTGCCACATCAGGACTTCACTTGTTAGTTCATAAATATTCCCTCCCAGTCAATGAACCACACACACACAAATACAGTTAGTAGGGATGTATGTTGTTGTTAAGTGCCGTCGAGTCGTTTCCGACTGTAGGTACATAGATTCTCTATAACTTTTCGACACCTCAGATATTTGTAACAAAAGTTGATGATGTCTTATGCAATAATATAGACCCATTTCTAAATTCCCATGATCTACTGGAGTCCTGGTGTGGTGTTGTGAGTTAATGCACTGAACTGCAAAGTCAGTTTGAACCACAAGGTTGCCAGTTCAAGCTCACCAGCTGCTCCTTGGAAACCCTGTACAGGGTTGCTATAGGTCAGAACTGACACGACAGCACTAAACAACAACAACAACAAATAACACCATAAGCACTCAAGGTTACTAGAAGATGAAGCTGGGGCCAGAGCCCCCTCTCTATACCCTCCACCCCACCACACACATGCACACACAAGTAAGCAAAATGTCCTCACAGAGTTCCACCTCACACCTCCTGTTAGGTGCCTAACAATTCTTTCTGAAACTCCTGGAGGCCGCCAGACATCTAGGGTTTACATCACAGTGTGACCCCTTGTAGGAGGGTGGGTGTGGTCGGAAGTCCCTATTGTGCTGTCTGGATTGTAGTCTTATCTTCTGGGGGACTTGGTGAGGGAGGAGTTCCTTAAACCTATGTCTACTGGGAGTGGAGACAGAGGAGGGACGCTCCCCAGCCTTGGTGCACATGGTCTCCTGACCTAAGGACTGCCATCCAGGGTCAGGTGAGTGCCCCGACCCTGTACCCTCACCAACCCTTTCTTCTGGTTTCGTGGTATTTCAGAAATCTCCCTGCTCGCAGATATCACCCGCACAGGCAAAGTGAAGCCGACCAGAGCCATGAACCCCCAGGTACTGTACCACCTTGACCCCAGCTCCTTCCTTTAGCTCTGCTGGTTCTCCTGGGGCAACCCTATGTGGTGATGACATGAACGGCCATCTGTCTCAGGTATGCCAGAGTCATACATGTTGACTGTGTGAGAGACACAATTTAGGAAACAAGAGTATAAAGAAGAAGGAAATTAAAAAGTCACCATTAACATTTCGTTTACATAGTTCCCATCTTTTTTACGAGACCAGATTTTCACCGTCTGTGGATTCCGAGACTGTGTTGTCCTGGAAACTATAGAGCCACTAGCTAACAGACAGTCAAGAAAAAATTCGTAAGCAGGTCTCTCTGGCTCAAAACCCCCCTGTTGTTGATGGTGCTAGCTGCTGTTGAGTCAACCCCAACTTATGGCGATGCCACGTAGAACTACTCTATAGCTTTCCAAGGCTGTGACCTTTCAGAAGCAGGCCTGTCTTCTGAGACAACTCTGGGTGGATTTGAACCACCAACCTTTCGGCTAATGGTTGAGTACTTAATCATTAGGGACACCAACCTCAGGCTTAACAACATGACCCCAGGATTGCCCACATGGGGAGATGGTAGAGACAGAAGGAAAGGCAGGGGTAGAGGAGGGAAGGAGCCAGGTAGGACCGGGATGCGTGTTGAGGAAAGAGAGATGGGAAGTGCAGAAGAGACATGCAAGCTGTGGTCTTCACCCTGGGTCCATGGATAAACTTCAGGGTGTCCCTGAACCCCAGAACTGCCTGCACAGTTTTATACTGACATGGACTTTGGGAGGCCGTGAACTGTTAAAAGATGAAGTTCCCCTTGTGGGGTTAATCAAAAGTGGGAGAAAGAGTGGGAAAGCAGAAAGAAGATTCTGGAAGAATGACAACTCTGGGAGTGAAATCTATTCTTTTCATCTCACTCAAAATCTAGTCATCCCCCATGGCAAACACTCTCCTATAAACAGATGTCCTCACCACTATGAGATTCCTACCAGGCTGGGCCACTTAAGTTGCTTTCATCTTTGAACAATCAAATACCTGGCTGCTAAGAATAGACCCACACTTGAGTAAATGAGTAATTAAGAGTTCGCATAATAGTAACTATTTAGATTAGAATCTTAACATAAATATTTAGCTCAACTTGGCTTGTCAAGTCAACGCTTTTAAAACATTGTGAAAGTCCCTATTACTGACTTCAGCACGTTTGGCAAAATGGATAGACTGCATTTTCTGAGACTATCTTTATGACTTTATAGGCAGAAAAAAAATCCACTCTTGGGACCACAGAACGACTTGATGTGGGAGTAGGAAGCTAATGAGATGATGGGGAAGGTATCTGGGCTTCCTACAAGAGTTGGGAGGCTCTGTGTGGGTTCCTAAGCATGCTTATCTCTCCGGGCTGTTGTTCACAGGGGACCTGGACTTGGGGCCCTCGCAGATATGGTGCCATCCTGCTGGTGAACTGTGACAAAGACAATCCCAAATCCTCCACCATGGATTTCAAGGATGACAAGGTTCATGACCACAGAGGTAAAGACCTGATGCTAGTGTGAGTGGGGCTTTGTTCACATGGCCTGATCTTGCTATGTTGTTGTTGTTATGTGCCATGGAGTCGGTTCCGACCTATAGCGACCCTAAACAGGGTTTCCGAGGCTGTAAATCTTTACAGGATCAGAAAACCTCATCTTTCTCCCGCGGAGCAGCTGGTAGTTTCAAACTGTTGACCTTGTGGTTCACAGCCTGCTTCGTAACCACTGTGCTACCAGAGCTCCTTGCTATCAGTGCTAGGAAATAGACTAATTGAAAGCACTTCTTGTTAGCATGTCCATTTTACAGGTAAAGAAATGGGAAACTGTCCTGAAAAGGTAAATGACCTGCTCAAGGTCACACAGCAGTCAGAGAAGAACTGAGACCAACATTGAATCTCGTCCAACCGCCAGTTCCCATGCCCTTACACCCTGTCCAACTCAAACTTCTACTCTTGAACAAACTTTGTTGTTGTCAGGTGCCATCGAGTCGGAACCAACTCATAGCGACCCCATGCACAGCAGAACGAAACAATGTCCGATCCTGGGCCAACCTCACTACCGCTGCCACACTTGAGTCCATCAATGAT